TTTTCACACAGCAACAGCTGCTCATTTGAGCACTAGGGAAGGGAAAGGTCCAAGTGCTTGTACTTCACATTCAGGGATCTCTTTGTTACAGATGGGTTATTCGTATGAGCAAGGAGTGAAGGATAAGGTCCTGTATTATGCAAAAGTACGTGACCCAAGACGTGGCCTAGTCACAAGGGCTAGATTCTGATCCAAATGCTGGTGCAGGGCAGGTGTGTTCGGAGCTGAGCTTCTGGACTGGACACATTGCTAGACATCACAAGTCCTGAAGACTGCAGGAGGAATTTGCTTTCTAAGCAAATAGGGTTTTAACCACCCACAAAAACCACCCCATCCAAACACATTAAAAAACTCACCTTTATCTGCCTGCTTAGTTTGCAGAACCCATACTTCCCTTGGTGTCCTGCAGACGGTCTCCGAACTCTGTAACAAATCTGAGCCCATCTAAGACAAAGCAGTTGTCACCATAGGGTTCAGGTGTGGCCCTGACTGCAGCACAGAGACATCAGGGGTAGAAAATAGCATTCCTGTTCAACAGCCCTGTATCCAAGCCCTTGCACTGCAGGAGGATCTCTCCTAGCCACCTTAGGTCTACAGCACACAGCCGAGCAAGGGGCAGAGTGGCAGTGAAAGGCCTGCCCTCCCCAACTACTCCATCACAGTTTTAATTATGCTAATTGATGCCACACAACAACTTCACCTCAAGGTTTATTTGCTAGTTTGCAACTACAGCCAAATGCCAGATCTTGGTCTGCATGGAACTCATGCCCTTCCACCGAGTTAGCCTCCCAGCTTCAGAAACCTGTATTTCGGAGCTGGAGGCTGCTAGAAGGTGGAGCAAAGACAACTAAATTCCTACAGGCTCCAGAAGCTTTTTATTATCGTTTCTTTAAGACATCCCATGTGGTTCTAATAGACACAGCCCAGCTCAGCAGTGCCCAACATCAATCCGACCACATGAAAGGGAAGCGCATATCCAAGAATTGGCCGGCGTGCAGTTGCGGGGATCAAAATGCCGATGCCATGAAATGACAATACCAAATACACTCATCCTTCTGCTTTATTTTTAATGGCCCACTCTTCCCATTGCCTCGTTAAACAAAGTTGCTTGCTTGGATGCTGCCAAACCACTGCTGAGTTCATCCCAAATCCCAAACAGCGACAAAGGAGGGGGAAGAAGCATTGCTCAGCCCAAAGGGTGAGGTCAAGGGTTCTTTCCCTTTCGGGTTTCCTCTAGAGTTTATGCAGCGTCCCAGATAAGGGCACTCACGTGTCACCAAAAAGCAGCACAAATGATCATCTGGAAGAGACAATACCAAGTCACCATGCAGATCCTTCTCAAGCCAGGCAAGGGCATTGGTTCGCTGCTGACTTGGAGAGCTCTTGCTACCTACCGAATTGCACATGGCCACAGCCTGCAGCACACATCTTGTGCATCCCCTACACATATGCACACTTGTAAGGAAGGCAAAACGAGTCGCTACACTCAGACACTAGGACAGTGCGAGTCAAGATAAAGAATCTAGATAGGCTGGAAAAAAACGTATGGTTTATCTTCTGCTTCTGGCAAGTGTACACCCAAGCCAAGACATGTCAAAGGATAATCCTTCTTAAACCACAGCCTAGAACCACGCAGCCTCATGTGATACATGTTCGGGATGGCACGCATCAACCAGCTGCAGCACAAGGCATCTGGACTGTAACCTCTTCCAATAGCTTACGTCTCCCAAGCAAGCAACAGGCATGCCTTTCAGTTTAGCCCATGACTTATTCTGATTGCAGGGAGAAAATTAAGACAGCAGAGTTTCCTTTTAATTACAGCCACCTGGAGGGAGGGTGAGACATGGGAACTGCTGGCAGGGTGTACTAAGCACAGTTCGATATAGGAATGTAATTAAGCGAATGCAATGGTACAGGAATGCCCAGATGTGCAGCGTGTTCATTCTAACCTACGCAAGTGACCCACTTCCCACTGGCTGAATGAATCACGGGTCCTGCTACCATCTACTACAGAGGGCAGTGCTGACTACCGCAGGAAAGCTCCCGGAGTTAACACAACTCCTCAGTCTCTGCATGCGGCGTTTGCAAGATCCTGCCTTTATGGGGTGCATTCAAAGGTAACAGTCAGGATCATTTGCAAACTCCATATCTACCCTTGGACATGCCCTTGGCTGTGTAAATCTCTTCCCTTTAATGTTTGCCTCCCTTTTTTGTCTTCGCAGGAAAAAATAAAGGACCTTCTGAGTTTCACTCTTGTGTACAGCGCATTAGGTGCTTTCCTTCAAGGCAGCGGGGGGGAAGAGTGAGACAGTAATGAGGTGCTGCCCCAGTTAGACAGTGGTTTTGCATGGGGATGTTTAGCTTTAAAAAATTTCCAGTGTGAGATTTTTTAAATCTACTGGTCTGGGGTTTCATCCCAAACTACTGCTACAGACTTAGCCTTTGGGTCAAGCTTGATCAGACAGAAGGATGCTCTGGCTGGTGGTGGCGGCGGGGGAAGAGGCCTGTTTCTATATTCTGCTTTAAAGAGGGATCACATCAAATACGCATCAGTCCCAGGGGCAGGGTCCAGACCCCCAATTCAGCTCCCTTTTCTGCTGCCTGTCAGGAGATACCCTACGCCCACAGGCTGCACTGTCAACCCCTCCTTTGTGCCCCCTCTCAATTATTTTTTATTCCTATCTGCCTCGCCGCACATCCTAGGTACCGGCCAGCCCACAACGAAACTTTTGGGGCACTCTCCAGGATGGAAACAAGAGGAGGGATCCAAACCTGTGCCTCCTGCTTCAGGGAGAGTGCTCCAGCCCCCAGGCTATCATCTGAGAGGTTGCCACCGCTAGCCTCATTTTAAAAAATAATAGCAGCTACCACCACATTTGATGAAGAGCCTCATTCTGTCAATACAGGTTAGGCAGATACCTGCTGGAGCAGGCCCACCTTAGTGGCCTTGGACAGAGGAACTCTTCATTTTTGGATCCTGATAAAACTGTGATGCAAAACGCGGGGCAGTTCAGAGCCTATACAGCAGCCCAAAACTAGGTGCTTAGGGGGATCTTTAACATCAAACAGGGAAGCTCCGTATAGTGTTCAGGCACCTCTGGAGTGAGGCGTCAGCTGGGCAGGGGTTTTCAGAAATACATTTTGGGTTTGGTCAGAAATGAAGCCCCTAAGTCCTGCTTTAGACATCTGAGAACTTGGGCTGACAGAAGTTACTGTGAGGTGTGAAACAGCATACGGACTTTCCACGTGTCAGCTCCTCTACAGAAAAGGTGTGCAAACATGTTGTTATGCCGCAGTACATGAAAGCTAAACCCTGACAGCTCACCCCTCTGGCACTTCTTCTCTTCAGGCTCCAGTTTCCCACCTGTAAAAGGGGGATAATAATCTTCTCCCACTGGGGATTTGCAGATATAAAAATACATTCACATTTGCATAGGACTGAGATACTACATGTAGGAGAGCCATGTTGGTATATGGTCAGGCCGATCACAATCCTCTTAGTGATGATACTGGGAAGAACGGAGCTATCTAAGTATCAAATTTGTACATGTGGAAACAATTCTGTTTTGCTTGCTTGCAAAGATTCTCACTCTGTCGAGCAGCTGGTAGGAGGAAGGCAGACAAGGTAAGACTCTATCGCTAATTAAACACTGCCGATGGCTTTACCTGGACATACGACCTTCTGCAGAGGGATGCACTTAAATCACCTAGCCTTGATCAAAGAATTCCTGTACATTAGACAGGTCCTGTAGCAACCAGGTGCTCCTGAGACTACAGAAAAGCAGTGACTGAGACAAGGTGCTGCAGCCTTACAGGATAACAACCACTAGGAACCTGCATGAAGATTAAAGTCACGATTGCATCTCTGGTGGAACAGACTGAGCTAACAACCCCGCTGCGTGTTTACTTGGAAACAAAGCACCCGTCATTAATGTTAACATGCCATGAAGTAAAAAGCTTTTATGTACATGGGCTTGGAACAGAGCAGAACCTTCTGTATGGAGAGCCAGTTTAACAAGTGCACTTGCAGGTTTGGGAACTAATAACATTTTGCACTTCTATGCAACCGTCTGAAAGTGCTTTGCAAACTTCCTTCCAGTGAAGTTCATGTGCTCAGGGAAGAGATGCCATTTAATGCTTATTCTACAGATGGGGAAACTGAGGCACAGAAGTACTGCATTGCACTTACAAGGCCACATAGCGAGCTAGATCTCATCTGCATATGGATCTGCACCACTTTAGCAAGTCTCTATGTGGACACTCTTAGTCAACAGCAACTTATTCTCAGTCAATTTAAACCTGCCCTAAAATGAGTGAAACAAAACTTAAAGCAGTCTGATTTAAAAGGAGATGCTCACACAGACTTTTGCACAGATTTGACTAAATTGGTTTGAAGACACACCTTACATTCATCTTACACTTAGGCCAGTCCTGTGTGTGGAGCAGAGCACACGCAGGCAGACTGCTGGACTAGCCAAAAAAGGAAAAAAAAGAAAAGAATTGCACTGTCTTAAATAATACCCTGATGGGCAAGCTTGGGCAAGTTCCTTAGGCTCCCTCTGCCTCAGTTCTTCCACATGCAAAATGGGAACAAGGCCATCGATTCTCTTTGTGCAGGACTTGGAGATTTACTGTACAAAAGCATCATACAAAGAGTATAGTATAAATTATGCACGGTTAATATTTACAGAGGTCACTGTTGGAACGTAATGTACCTCTCATATACCTTTCTTCTTTAAATCTGGTGAAACCTTGGTGACTTGTGAGAGCAGCAGGACAATGGGACAAGGTGGTGGAATTCTCTTCGCTGGGAGTTTTCAAGAGGCTGGAGAGGCATCAGTCAGGGGAAGGGGAGATGTAGGGTTGGAGACAGTGAATCCTGCATCTCTGCAAGGGTATGCACTGGACGACCCTCCAGATCCCTTGCAACTCTATGAATCCACTGTGTTGCATTTTCATTGCAACAGCTGAAACTAATCAGTGACATGGAAAATACCTACCTCCAAATAATTCTGGACCCCGAGCAGTCGCTGATCTGCCACCGTCTGTACAACACCACTGCAGAGAAAGAGAGAGGCAACAGTTACTGTCGATGGCCAAGCTCCAGCCAAGTTCTCAACGCAGACAACAGCATCACGCCGAGACACGAGGCTGGGTACACCGGCCAAAAAAGTGACAGCCACCATTTTACCAAGCAACTCATTGTCACGGGGATGCAAGAAACTTTTTGTATCACTCACTCAGGGCCACATGCTACCTTTTCCTTCTGTGACGACGTGGGAGCAGCAAACGGTAGGATCCAGCTGGCAGCTTGCAGGGAGGAAAGCCAGGAAAAAAGGGCACCCTCCCACTGCCATATAACGCAGAGGCCCCTTGGCAGGTGCTACTTTGAGAAGGGGGCTCAAGTGCTGGATGGTGGAGGATGAGCCTCCCCCTAACAGCAACCATCTCAGGTGTGGGGGGATTGCCAGGAGCCAACAGAATTATCTTTTACTGCACAGGCCCAGCCCAAACCCATTAAGAGAAAAAGGCAGGTTCAGTGGGTAGAGCAGCAGCCTAGGACTTTGGAGACCCAGTTTTAAGTCCCTGCTCTGACAACAACAGTCACTAAAGGCCACATGCTTAAAGGATGGGGACAGACACCAAGTGGGATATTCAGTGTCTCTGAGACATAGGATCACTGGTGCTTCTGACAACCCCCCAAGGCACCTATTTGCATCTGTATGCAGTTAAATGTCTTAAGAATCTGGCCTTTACTTCCCTGACTTTAAAATGAGGAATACAAATGTTGACCTACCTTGCAGACACACTGTGAAAATAACACATTAAGTACTGTCAGATCATGAGACACCAGCATAAGAGGAGCCATATGAATACCATAAATAAAAGTCAGTGCAAAAACACCCAGCAACTGTCACGGGCTTTGAATCAAACAGCAATGATTTTCCCCCTCCTGAAGGCGGCTAGCTTCATCAGACCCGTGAAGATCCTCACTGAGCAAAGCCCTTAAGCACAAGTTTAACTTCAAACCTGGGCTTATATCCCACTGATTTCAAGGCATCTTAAGTGCATGCTTAAGCGTTTTGCTGAATTCGGCCCAAACTGAATAAGAAAGTGCATTTTAAGACTTCCAAAAATTCACATTGAATGGGGTTTGCATCTTCCAGCCATAAGAACTGCCCCATTTATAATGGCCTAATCTGATTATAGGCGAAGCTGGGTAGACAGTAATCTGGCACTATGATTTTAACAACAGATGCCATTTGCATATTTTATATCAATTAATCCTTTTTTATTCTGCTTGCATTGAATTGCTAGGAGAATGTCTCACTGAGACTTAAGGGGGAGAGAGAAACTCATTCATGGAGAAAAAAAAAAGTGAAATAATGCAATCTCAGCTGTCAAAATGGATTACGCGGCATACACAGCATTCAGACTTTCCCCATAAAAGTGAAACGGTCCCTTCCTTGCTTCTAAAGAAGGCTTTATTCTGCCTTCGTTCTCTCCCTTCCATTGCAAGGATTAAGGGAAAAAAGAGTAAAATAAAATACTTTGCATCGGCAAAAGCTTCAGTTTTTTCCCCCTTTAACTTTGTAAAAAGACTTGCGAAGACCAAAGCAACCAAAATCCAACCTTTTCTCACTCTCTACCCAAGTCCGGATCACCTCCCCAAACTTCTTCCTACTGTGTACCCCCTTCCAGATTTACCAGCTGCCCATGTACCCCTACTAGGATATTATAACCTCTTATATACTAATTATAATGAAAATTAAATCTGCCATTGCACAGTTTCTCCGGTGTATCCGCCAGGGGTGTATGGGGTACGTGTACCAGTTTGGGATCCCCTGTCCTGAACTGTTCTCAGAAAAACCCATTTGGGACACTTCCACTGCAGTCACCACCAGGTTTGATACAAGCTCATGGCTGGCTTTTCAACGTCCACAAGAAGGGACAGACTTTTGCAAGAACTCAGCAGCTAAATAAGAGTCCCATTTATAATAAAATTCGTCTCTAGACAGATTTCCTAAGAGCCAGGTGGTTCACGAGTAACCAATAGGCCAACTGGCACAGGATGCTGAGTTCGGGGAATTCTTGTGACGGCCTTTCTTTCATATTTCATACCCCGGGGTTTTCCTCGCTGGAAGGTGGTAGCAAAGTTTGGCTAGTGAGTCCAGAAACAGAGGTCCAAGCCTCAGGCCAGATGTACAGGGAAAGCTGCCCTCTGTCGCCAATGGAAAACTGGTCATGGGGTCGGGGGGTGTCAAAGGCAGTAAGATGTGGTATCAGCCCCGTCTCCCTTAGGTGCTGTCGGGGATGAAAACTGGCATGGTCTGGTCAGCCGTTCTCGCCCATCGGTTATTTCAAGTCTGCAACCTCCCTCCGCCCGGCCCCGCCAACCGCTTTGCTTGCATCCTTCATCCAAGCACCCACCGTCATCCCACCGGGGTGAGAGGTGCGTATCATCGAGCAGAACGTAGCCCCACGCGGACCCTTGCTAAACCTCAGAGGAGTTTCTGTTCACAGGAACAGCCCTGCCGCCCGTTCTTCCCCTTCCCCTTCCCCGATCAACCCTGTCCGGCCTCAAACTCCTCGTTGCGCCGCCAGGTCTTGCTAAGCGCAGGGAAAGCAACCAGGTGGGAGCTACTGCACACTGGTAAAATTAAGGATGATCAAGGCAAGGCCGGACAGGGCAAAGGCTTGCTCAGTGAGGCCCCCGCCATGCTGCCCATGGCATTTGCAGTCTTGGGTCGAGGCCGCGTCTCCCCTCGGGGGAGGACCAAGAGAAGCATGGCTGGGGACAGCAGGGACGGCTCTCCCAGCAAGCGCCCTTCACCGCCGGTTTGGTTCCTAGAAACAAAGCACAAGGGAGAAGCACCAGCAGTTTGGAGACGCTGCCTTTGCCAGCCCAGCTACCTCTTTCCACACAGCGCGGCCCGGGCCGGGCACCCACCTATAGCGCGTCCCGCGGTACTGGAAGAGCACGAGGTAGCGCATCGTACATCCCGCCCGCTTCCGCGCCGGGCGCCGGGGGACCCGCCCCGGGGCGGGGCCGGGCCGGGCCGGGGCCGCAGCATCCGCCTCCGGGTGACGTGACGTGACGTGACGGTCCCGCCGCCGCCGCGCTGCAGCCATGGCGCGCGCGTGTGTGCGCACCCCCCGCACACGCACGGACACACCGCGGTGTATCTACACATGCACACCCCCGTGTACACACACGGACACACCGCGATGTATCTACACACACACACGTGTGCACCCCCGCACACACACATGTACACACCGCGGTGTATCTACACACACACACGCGTGTGCAACCCCCGCACACGCACGGACACACCGTGGTGTATCTACACACACACACGTGTGCACCCCCGCACACACACATGTACACACCGCGGTGTATCCACACACACGTACACACCGCAGTGTATCTACACACACACACGTGTGCACCCCTGCACACACACATACACACCGCAGTGTATCTACACACACACGTGTGCCCCCCTGCACACACACATACACACCGCAGTGTATCTACACACACACGTGTGCCCCCCTGCACACACACATACACACCGCAGTGTATCTACACACACACGTGTGCCCCCCTGCACACACACATACACACCGCAGTGTATCTACACACACACGTGTGCCCCCCTGCACACACACATACACACCGCAGTGTATCTACACACACACGTGTGCACCCCTGCACACACACATACACACCGCAGTGTATCTACACACACCCGTGTGCACCCCCACCCCCATATACACATGTACACACCGCGGTGTATCTGCACACACACATGCACACCCCTCCCATGCACACACGTATACACTGCGGTGTATCTACACACACACGTGCACACCCCCCACCCCTGTATACACACACGTACACACCGCGGTGTATCTACACACACGTGTGTGCACCCACCCCCCGTATACACACACAGTGGTGTATCTACACACACGCATGCACACCCACCCCCGGTATACACACATGTACACACCACGGTGTATCTACACACACACGTGTGCACCTCCCCCGTATACACATGTACACACCACAGTGTATCTACACTACACACACATGTGCACCTCCCCCCTGTATACACACACATACACACAGCGGTGTGTCTACCCACACATGTGCGCACCCCCCAGTATACACACACACACCGCAGTGTACACACATACACACACACCTGTGCACACGTACACAACAGTATATATACACACATGTACACACACACGGCAGTGTACACATGTATACACAGCGGTATATATACACCTATAGTACACACACAGCAGTATACAGACATACACACAGCGGCGTATCTACACACATGTGCATAGCCCCCCAGCATACACACACACGGCAGTGTACACACATACACACAGCAGTATACATACACATGTGTACACCCATGCGCACACACGTACACACCCACCAATACACCTACCATGCACATATGTACACGTACACCAGTATACACACACACACACACACGTACACACACACCAACACACCCACCCACCAGTATTTATATGCACATATGTACACACACACTGGTGCACAGACATCAGTATCCACACACGTGCCTATATGTACACACGCATATGCACACACACCCCCCGGTACACACACACGTATACCCTCAATATACACAGACATGCATATACATACACACATATCAGTATCCACACATGCTCCTATATGTACAGACACACCAGTATACACATGCAGATATGTACACATACAGCAGTATCCACACACACATGCATATATGTACACACACACCAGTACATACATGCATATATGTACACACACCCATATACACACACACACACATATGTATACACACTAGGGCTGTGCAAAACTTTGGATCATGATTCAGATTCGGAGATGATTCAGATGATTTGGAGGCCAAGCCTACGAATCCGAATCAAATCACGGGAAGCTTGAGGCTTTCCGAATTGATTCGGAGCTTCCACATCGAATCGCTGGCATCCGAATCAGCTGAGTCCGAACCCAAATCGAATAGTTCCCTATTTGCACAGGCCTAATACACACACACACACACACGCATATAAATACACACATGTACACACGCTGGTATACACACACATATGTACACATCCACGGGTATATAGAGACACACCTTTTTGTACACACACCAGTATACACACATGGACATACTCCTATGTATACACACACATTTACACACACACAACACAAACATATAACAAAATATTCTTCTGCCTGGTTTTGCAGCCTGGACAGCTGTGGTCTGGAGAGCAAGAGCGCAGAACAGACCGGAGACCTGTGGCGAACATAGGAAAGCTGCCCAGGCCTAGCGCTGTGGCCCCCCGCAGCTGAGAAGCCTGCAAAAGCACAGTAAAAGAGCACAAAACACTGGGTACCATTCTCAAAAGCACCCAAGGGGCTGCCTTTGCGGCAGGCTCAGCCCGTGGCAATAGCAATAGCCCCAGTGTCCACGCAGGACACTTGTGCCTGAGCTGACGTGTGCTTGGAACCGGGATTATTGCGACGGCAGTGACAGATCCTGGTGTCAGGCAGGGGGACATTTCCATAAAGCACTGAGGGCATGGCAGACCCTTGGGGTGGAGAGTTCAGGGGTTGCTAACCTTTTGGGCTATCCTGCAGCTCCCCAGGCTTTCATCCTACTGGCGTCCTGCTCTGCTGCTGCTGGGAGCTATTAGGTTGGCATTTGTTCCTTGCAGCTCACTCCATTCTGCTTCGACCCCTCACTTGTGCATGCCAAGAAAATGTCACGCCGGGAGGCTGCAACTGGGCCCCGGAGCAGTGTGCTCTGAGTACCCCAAGGAGTGTGACTTGGGGAGATGCAGAGGGAGCACCCTCAGGCACCCGACAGCCTGAACCCACTTGGCTGCTGCTAGGATTCGGGCTCTGAAGTGCATACGACTCTTTGGACGATGGGTCCTGGCTCTCTGAATCACTGGCCTTGGGCATAATATCTACTAGATGCATGTGATTTTCAACCTGTGCCTCTACCTTCTCTGTGTCCAGGGGGAGCAGCAGGATTACAGGATACCCTTTTCCATTTGGCCGTGGACTCTTCCACCCCATGGTTCCCTGACTCATGAAACCCACTAGAGCCCCAGGATAAAAAATAAACCAGGCTTTCACTATTCAGACCATAATTACGAGCATCCTGTGTCCATGGAATGTGCACCGTGCAATCCCTTCTAATTAATGCAAAGGCATTCAGCATCTTGTTGCAGTTTAATATCTGTATGGGGATTTGCATAGATTAACATACTAGCAGATGCAAGCAGTACTGCAACCTACACCCAGTCACATGGGAGCAGCATAAGAACTGCCTACATTTCTCCTGGCGTCCTAACACCATATCCACACAACCACAAGCCAAGCCTCGGCTCATGCAGAAACCCCAAACTAGTGCTGGGCACCCAGGCGAGCAGAGGAAAAGGGACACCTTGCTGTGCCTATAATCCTTAACTCGGAGAACCCAAATTGATATTAGGCCGGTTTCCCTGTGTCTATTCAGTACTGCTCTCCTGTGAATGCCCTTGCATGTTAGGAATGGATTATCTTTTATTTTCAACAGTAATCGCTGCAAATAATCAGGGCAACGTCAGCGGGACACGCAGCTGCTGTTTGATTGCATAAGTATGACGTTTAAAGTGATGTGGAAACAAAGGGTAGCCCATGGGACCAGCTCCAGCTTCTTCCTTTTGTCCCATGCATAAGGGCACAGGAGTGGAAAATAGGACACTTGGGCTCTATCCCTGTCTCTGCAGCAGAGAGAGTATTGGAGGAAATCAAATCAATGTTCTGTACCTCGGTTCCCCTTTCCACTAAATGGACGTAATGGCAGTGACCTGCCTTTGCAAATACAATAGCAAGAACTAGCTCTTGTCCCTCAAGGATCTCATGGCACTTTACAGCAGAGCTCAGCACCATTATCCATTATTGACAGGGAAACTGAGGCACACAGGGGCTCACCTAGGGTCGCCCAGTCGGTAAGAGAGCTAAGAACAGAACCAAATTATCCTGAGTCCTGGGAATGTTCTGTCAACTAGGCCACACAGCTGCTTTGAGTCCTGCATGGAAAATTTCTGATAGACTTGGAAGCAGTGAATATTAGTTATTTTACTGGTAACTAGTGGTGTCATGAGAAGCCTGAGTTGGGGTTTTTCAGCTTGTTTCAGCTGCAAAAGCAATTAATCCCCGTTAGGGCTAAATCAGGCCTGATCCAAGTCCCACATAAGTCAGAGAAGCATGTTGAAAAATAAGGCTCCCACTCATCAAACACCAAAGCAAAAATGTAACTTTACCTCTGTGAGCACTCTTTTAGAAATATTACTTGCATGCAAGGAGTTGGCAGGATTGGACTCTCAGGGTACAACAGCTACTAGCATAGCCTTAAGTATGGCCACGGATTTTGGTGGAGCTAATCACAGGGACAAAGTAAGTGAGCGTAAGACAAGCTTTGAAAAAGCAGGCTTTTTTCTGGTTTCAGAATCACTGGGTGCGTCTACACTAGACGTTTACTGCCCAGTTGCCTAATTAGCTCCGCAATAAAATGTCAGCATCTACACAGGTGCTATTCGGTCCGAGCAAACCAATAAACGCTGCAGTAGGTTAGTACTGCTAGCTACAAGTATTAACCTACAGCAGAGTTATTTATGCATCTATTTATTTTTGTAAAAATATATGTGTGTGTGTGTGTGTGTATGTGTGTGTATAGGTTATATATATATTTATAAACACACACACATATACATATATATGTATATATACACACACACACACACCTTCTAGTCACTGATCATTGCCTCCTTAACCTCCCCATAGGAACTCATGCACCCATTACAATATACGCACCTGCAGAATGGCATTCTTGCACACCCGCTCACAAGGCATCATCTCCCTTAAACCCCTTGTCTCTTAGTCCTGTATCTAAATACGGGGTTCAAAACTCAGTTCATCCACTGTCACTTCCGC